AAATCGACCCTGAAGGAGCTGAAAAATTCGTGCTTGGTCCTAGGGAGATCGCGCCCAGTGTGCCGGCGCCAGGGTCGTCCAGCGACAGACCTAGTAAATCATCTTCGACCGTCGTTGGTCTGGGCTGTGCAGTGGATGAAGCAGGACCAGCATCAAGGAGGGAGCCGTTCGATTGACTTGGTATCGTTTGCACTGCTGGAGGTTCCGGCTCGAAGTCGATCAACGACAATTCGTTTGCTGCATTTTTGCTGACCCCGGTCGTGGTGCCCAGGGTTCCCTTTTCGATCCTGTTGGCTGCTTCGATGTCTCCAGCTTTCATCAACTTGTACCTCTCGATCGTCCGATGGATACTGTCGTTGATTTCGAAGAGCTTAGCGACCGCCTCGGCATCGTCAGACTCTTCCTCGCACATCCTCTGTATCTTGGGATGAGCGCTCTGGAGCGCACCGACCAACTCCTAGGCTTCGTCAGCTTATTGACCACTTGCAATGCGACACTCCATACCTCGAAAACATCCCCGTCGCCAAACTTCTCGCCCGGTTGATGGCTTTGAAGCATCTCCTCTAATATCCTGGCTTTCTGCTGGACCTTTGCAACCTCTTCCGCTGCCTTTGCCCGATAGTCCGTTTTGTGCCTCGTGTCATAGCCGGCCATGACCTTCATGAGCCTATTGGCCTCTTGCAGATCTTGCGGCCGTCCTCGCCGAATCAGTTCTTGTAGCTTGGCTGATTGCGCCGCTCGGTCTTCCTCCTCCATCTCTTCAGCCGACTGGAGGTTCTGCAACTGATTAGCAGTGGTCCACTATTCTTCTGGGGCTATTCTCATACATCGCTGGGATTCAGGACAGCAGCATCCTCTCTCCGCACCTCTGGGAACATGTAGCCCTTGTACAGCAGAAGCCTGTGCATATCTCGGATGAAACCCAAATCCTCCTTGTACCTGGATGTTTGACATATCGTCGACCGCCATTCTTCAATGGCTTCCAAGATCTTGCTCTGCACACGAGTGGGCCGTAGCGGGGGTCGTTCAGGGAATCGTCGGACGAGCTCGTTGAGGAATTCTTTGGTGCTGATTTGGAGGTGGAAGGGATAACCGCAGTTTTTGACACAGATATCGAGTAGCGACAAGGCCAAGAGGGACACGTTCGGGTTCCGGTGGTTGATGAGCTGCACAATGGTAAATGCGGCTTCACGTGGGGCATTGCCCTTCTTCGAGTTTACCAGGTCGACGATCTCGAGGTTCAAGGCGAGATTAGGTTCGAGGTTGGCGATGGGATCGCAGGCATTGTATATGAAGCGCTGGAGGGTCGAACGAGGCGGGGCGAAGCCGTCAAAGACAAACTGATTTCGCGAGGCCATCCTCGCCGAGGTGGCTTCCATCACCTGGAGTAACGTGGAGGCGTGTGTCTACTGAGATCGGTCGCAGTGGTGGTGAACAGAGGAGAATCGTCTGCTGGTCAAGTCTGCCAGGCTTTGGCCTCATTTGCGCTTCCAGCCAGACAGGGTGACAGGCAATTTGATGCCACGGAGTTGGTTGATGCCACCAATGCCAACTTTCTGACTAAGCTACTGCCTATCGGAGGTCCCCAGGTGCCCTAGATTGGTCGTTGGCTGAAAGTTGGAGGGCAAGAGGAACATGAACGTTAATCGACGAAAGTATTCAAGAACGACTATTTCTGTAATGCCTTCTCAAACTACCTTAGTATAGGTACAACACGTTCGTTACCCACCCAGTCGTGTCTCAAAAAACGCCATGTCAATTGCTGCCCCGGATCCTTGCTTATGATAAGAATCTATAACCCCTCATGCACTACCTCGCCATCTGTACGAGGTAGAAAAGCAGATATGAGACTCAGAAATCAAATCGGCTCGAAACCGCATTTTTTTTACACTGCTCTCAGGTCCACTGACCTAAATGGTGGTGGTCGAGTGCAGGTCTGGGTTCATTGTTGAAAACACAATTCATCACAGTCCCTTGAAAAAACAGGGCGTTACCTGAAATTCATACTACACACTTTTAGAGAAAGCAAAGGGGATGAACCCCTGGTGAAATGGCTGCACGAGCCGACATCACTTCTTCCGAATCGGGCATGAGTTTGCAGCAGTTTTTGGCGGGATCGCTTATTGGGGAAAGTAAGCATGGTGGCATAACAGAGCCACTGGAAGGGGCGCAGGGACGAACGGCGAAGATCTGGACGCCATAATAGACATGGTAATCCCCATAAATTGTTCTCGTGTTCAAGATCTACAAGCTCGAAAATGCTCACAGTGTACTCGGTCACAACGCCAGGATCAAATGCTATATAACTCATTCCCATACCCTATGCCCATGCCCATACCCCTGCTCCACTTTTGTCACGATATGTTTGATGCAGCCCGCTCCAAAGCCAAGTACTCTGACCTGCTCTTCAAGCAATGTTATCTTGGTCGACGAGGGCTAGCTATCCCTGCACTCTTCAAGGCTGGTGGCGCAGGTAGGTCCTTCATCGGAGGAGCTGGTAACGGCCCAGTTGGAGGAGGCTGTCGCACAGTGAACGGTGGACTCATCAACGGATTTCTGCCATTGATAATATTGCCGCTACTACTCGTCCTGGGGGGAAACATCGGTCTTTGAGAAGGCTCAATAGCCGAAGCAGGCTCAGGAATATTATCACGGTCGTTGTATCCCAGGCGGTTAGCACGAGGACCAATTCCGTTGGGCGCATCTCGGGTTTCCAAAGACAAATGCTGTAACGATAGCGGCGGCGGCGGCGATCTCTCCACAATGCCGGTCGGTGTCCCTTGAAAGCTAAACTGTGGTGGCGCGACGGGGATGTTGCCAGAGGTTGGACTCGCATACTGCTTGGCCGTCACAGGGGTGCCACGGGGATCGCCAGCAAATGAGGCCGTAGACGCCGATGAGGTTGTATGAGAGCTGTCTGAGCTTGTCCCATCACTTTTCAGCGATTTTGGTGCAGGAGGTGCCAAGTAGGATTTTCGGTTGTGTCGCTCCATCATCGAGACGGCCCATTCCTGCAGATCCACAGGCGTCCTCTTCGCAGCCTGCAAGAAGTTGTCTCTGTCATAGAGCTCCCGGGGGGTTGGTCTCTCGTCAGGGTTCTTGAGCAGACACTTGGCCACAAAGTCCTCCAGGATAGACGGGAAGGCCTCACTCTTTGGGAGTTTGGGTGCCGGTTCGTGTACTATGGTCTGCAAAAGATCAAGAATTCCCATTGGTCCAGCACTTGCTCTGTCGCCCGCGGCAGAATCGCTCGAATCAAATGGGAATCTTCCAATTGCCAGTTCCATTACTGTCAACCCCACGCTCCAAACGTCGGACTTGATGGTGTATGCTCCGCCCTGAATTCGTTCAGGGGCCATGTACGTTGACGTGCCAACAAACGTGTTGGCCACCGAGTTGACTGTCTCTGTAGCCACGCCAAAGTCGCATAGTTTGATCATTCCTCTAGAATTGACCAGGACATTTGATGGTTTGATGTCTCGGTGCATGATTCGGTGGGCTTCGTAAAGGTATACAAGACCTCCCAGGATGGATTCTGTAATTTTGCCTAGTACGTCCACACGTGTGGGTCCAAAGTCTTTCGATATGCGATCCAAGGATCTGCAAGCCGTCAGTTCAGCAGGAAGGGTAGCATCAGACCACAAGTGACTCACCCGCAATCCATATATTCCATGCACAGCACAATGTCCCGGGCTTCATTCTGAAAAGCTCCGTAGTATGTAATGACGTACGGCGAGCTGCAGTCGGCGCCAACTTGTAATTCTCGAACAATTTGCTTACGGACATTTTCTTTTGCGTCGACTCGGATAACCTGTGTTCCCTCTCAGCATCAGGTCAACCTCCAGCCGAAGGGCCGGGACATACCTTTCTTGCCATGATCACTTTGGTCGAAGCATGCATGACTTTACTGACAGTACCCCCATTGCCAGCACCCAACTCTTTCAGCACGATCAGATCTTCACTTCTGAGGTCAAGTTTGAATTCCAAGCCAATCTCCAAAGTGTCGGTCCTGTCACTCTCGGAATTTCCAAGCGCCCCTGGTATCTGTGCATCGCCATCGGAGGGTGCTGTTCGAGGAGCCGGTGCATTCAACGCCAACCCTTTGACATTCTTCCTTTTCAGCGTCCGGGCTTTGAACGCGTCCGACATGGTGTGAGAATATTTCTTGGGTGATGGTAACAACGGTCCGGCAACAAGGCTAGTGAGGGAGGAACGGAAGTCGAAAGAGGATATACAGTAGGCTTCGGCGGGACTGCAAGTGTGATATGCAGACAGGACAGAGAAGAGAGGCGGCTATGTCAGACCCCAAGGACAATGCCAACTAAGGCCATCAGGCGCTTAGACGGATGAATAGCTGGCTGCTTTCTTTGAGCCTTTAGTCGATTGACCAACGCTGGACAGTGAAAAGCTGTGAAAATATATCAAAACACCCTGCTTTGAACCTGCCGTGCGGGTGAAGAGATTGTCAGTTGACAGCTGCTGAAACTGAAATCACGCTGAAGATAGGGGTTCAAGCGCTTCAGCACGGTTGAGAAAAGCACGCGGTCGTGAACTGAAGAGGCGATATCTGTCAATAGTGCATGGCATAGGCCAGTAGTTCGCCAATAGGTGTCAATAGGAGGTCAAGCGCAAGCGCCTATTCTCACGCTTCAAGTCAGAAGTTCCCCATGTTCTAAAAGAACCGCAAGCAGACGGTTGATTCGATTCATGTGAGGAGAAGGACGCAGCCAATCGCCGAAAGCGACCGACCCACCCATCCTTTGTACTTAGTACCTTGGCCCATGGTGATCCTGCTGAGATGCGGCAGCTTTGCCGAGCCCGTGATTTAGCCGGAGCGTTAAGTTTGTGTCTGTTCCTTGGGGGATTTCGCAGGCTGGCAGGACATTTGAGCAACCGTTGCTGTCGCTTTCACCGCGACGTTACTGTCTGCGGATCGGTCATAATCCTCGAATCATCTCAATTTACCGAGTCTGCTGCTTGCGCTTCGCCCTCGCATAAACATGGACCTCATCGATGATCGCGCAGTTCTCGGTGATGAAGAGGAGGACGAATCCTTCGATGAAGACACGGGTGAAGCAAGACCAAAGTCAACTGGCGCGAACGGACACTTTGATGATTCCTCTGAAGAAGAGGAAGAGGACGAAGATGAAGAGGCTGCAGCCGAGGTAAAATCTCTCTCTATCAACACCCTCTGAAATCCCAAAATCTAATGTTTATGCCAGGTTGCCAAAGACTTCATTGTTGACGAGGACGAAGAAGATGAAGAAGCCCGCCGCGAACGAAGACGAGAACGAAAGAAGCGACGCCGCGAAGAGCGCGAAGATGAAGATCTCGATGAAGAGGATTTGGAGCTCATCGGCATGAAGCCCACTGAAGAACCAACCGAATCAAAGTTCAAGAGACTCAAGCGAGGCCCTCGAGAAGACCGTGACGCGCAACAGCATTACGGTGTCAATGATATTTTCGGTCATTCCGACGAGGAAGAGGAGGCGGTTGACTACAGTCGGCGGAGTCGTCAGGACCGACGAGGGCTACAGGACGAGTTTGACGATTTCATCGAAGAGGATATCTTCTCAGACGAAGAGCAACAACGGCAACGTGAAGATGAAGAAGTGGCCAGACATAATCGTCGTGGGATCGCGGAGCTGGGTATCGCTGATGCAGCCGGGCTCGATGAGCAGGCCCTGGAAGACTTTCGCGCGGCCTTTGGTGATGGAACAGACTACGACTTTGCTCTAGAGAAGGAGGAAGAGGCTGACGAAGAGGAAGCCAAAAAGGACAAGAACCTTCATCTGAGAGATGTCTTTGAGCCTTCGCAGCTGGCGGAAAAACTACTCACCGACGAGGACAATGAAGTTCGATTCACCGATATACCCGAACGTCATCAGCTGGCCCGGAGACCATACCGCGACCTTGAACTGACCGAAGACGAGGTCAAAGAAGAAGCACTGTGGATAGCCAATCTGATCCTACCCTCGAAGGGGCACGATGAGATCCACCACGAACCTTTCAGACGCGCTGTCGCAGATAATCTGGACTTGATGACTCGGCAGGACTTTGAACCGCCGTTCATCTACATGCACCGAAAAGATTATCTACTGTTCCCACAGACTAAGGTGGTCGGTGTGCAGGAAGATGGGAGTCCGAAAGTCATCGACGACACCGTCAAACTTCTCAACCAGAAAGATCTGTGGCGCATACTGGAGCTTGATCTAAAGTATCGAGCGCTTATCGAAAGGAAAAGAGCGCTACAGAAGACTTACGCGGATCTGCATTCGGCCAGTGTACCGGAAGACACCACCTTCGAACAACTCCTACCCCGGGCTGCTACGATGGAGGATCTTCAGGATTTACAGGACTATCTATATTTTGAGTACGCTTCGCAGCTCAAAGATCTGGCGCTGACCTCGAATGGCGAGACCAATGGGGTGAGCATGTCTCAGAAGAAAGCATCGACCAGAAGTGTTTATGAGGAAATTCGTGCCTCGAAGGCATTTGGTCTCGTTCGCGCCTTTGGTATTACTGCGGACGCATTTGCGCGAAACGCCGCCAGGGAAGGTGTTCGGACGTACACAGAGGATCCCTCTGACAGCCCCGAGAATCTTGCTGATACAATGGTTGACGATGAATTCCCTACTGGCGCTCGAGTGCTCAAGGCTGCCAAGGCCATGTTTATTGAACAGTTGGCAACGAACCCACGGATTCGACGTCTCATCAGAGAGAAAATCTTTCCCCAAGGGGTTATTGATTGCCATCGTACCGAAAAAGGCCTTCGCAAGATCGACGAACAACATCCTTATTACGAGTTCAAATACCTTCGAAACCAGAAGTTATTTTACTTCAGTGATCGACCCGACTTGTTCCTCAAGATGCTGAAGGCCGAGGAAGAAGGCTTAATCGAGATTCGGGTCCGACTGCCAGGACTGGATGCATTCAAGAAAGAACTCAACAAGCACATCGAAACAGACAATTATTCTACTGTAGCAGATGCGTGGAACCAGGAACGTCGAGAAGCGGTGTCAATCACTGTTGACAAAATTATGAAATTGATGGCCCGATCGGTCAAGGAAAACCTCAAGGAACAATGCGAAGCGACCATTGGAAATGACTGCCGCGACGAATTCTATGCAAAACTTGATCAGGCACCATGGAAGCCGAGGGGTTTGGCTAAAGGTACCATTCCGCGGGTTTTGGCCATGACCAATGGTGGCGGGACCGTTGGACGCGATCCTATTTACTGGGCCTATGTCAGTGATGAGGGCAGAGTTCTTGAGCACGGTCAGTATAAGGAGCTAGGCCCCGGCAACCGAGAACGCGGCATCCCCGACGGCAAAGACGTCGACGCGCTCTTGGAAGTTATCCGAAGGAGGGAGCCTGAAGTCATCGCTGTCTCAGGATGGTGTCCCGACACCCGCAAACTTCTAGCAAACTTGACCACATTGGTCAGCAACCATGACCTTCGTGGCGCGACATACACGGATGACGATGATCAAGATCGAAGCGACCTCTTGGACGTCATTCTGGTTAACGACGAGGTGGCGCGTATGTCGAAATCTGGCGATCGAATGAAAGCCGATAACCCAGGAGTTCCTGAAATGGCTCTCTACTGTGTTGGACTTGCGAGGTACATGCAATCACCCCTCAAAGAATACGCGGCTCTAGGACGAGACATTGTATCCATCAACTTCCACTCTGCCCAGAACCTGCTGCCACAAGACAAATTACTGAAGAAACTGGAAACTGCTCTTGTGGATACGGTCACCATGACCGGCGTGAACATTAATGAGGCTGTGACTGATCCTGGGTTGGCAAATCTGCTTCCCTACGTGGCTGGTCTTGGGCCTCGAAAGGCTTCACATCTGGTCAAAGTGATCAACCTCAACAATGGCTTTGTCAGGGCTCGAGAGGATTTGCTGGGTCTCAACGATAAACACCAGGCCATGGGACCCAAAGTCTGGGCCAATGCGGCATCTTTCTTATACATCGACTTCGAGATGTCAGATCCAGACTCTGAATATCTAGACAACACGCGTATACATCCCGAAGACTACGATATTGCTCGGAAGATGGCAGCTGATGCACTCGAACTCGATGAAGAAGACATTGAGGCCGAGAGACAGGAGGGAGGATCGGGAGCAATTGTGCGCCGCTTGATACGAGAAGAAGCGCAAGAGCGTGTTCATGATCTGGTTCTCGAGGAATATGCCGCACAGTTGGAACAAAACCTCAACTCCAAAAAGCGCAGCACACTGGAGAATATCACCGCTGAGCTCAACGATCCCTATGAAGAATTGAGAAATCCGTTCCGGGTCAACCTTGGTGAGTCCGAGGTGTTCACAATGCTCACAGGTGAGACGAGGGAGTCCCTGCAGAGAGGCATGAATGTTCCCATGACGCTGAAGAGAGTCACCGATGATCACATGGAGGGCAAACTCGAATGCGGCTTGGACGCGGTGGTTGAAGATCGCCAATGGGCAGACCCTGCCTTGTCACCAAAGCAGCTGTACAACATCCACCAGACTGTTCAAGCTCACATTACCTCGATCAATCGCAAAGACTTTATCGTCACAGTGAGCTTGAGAGACGAGCAGGTCAAGAAACCATTCAGGAGATACAATCACAACGATCGGAACTACGACGAATGGGATGAGCGCGAAGAGGTGGCGGACAAGAAGTTGCTCGAAGAGAAAACGGACTTGGGCAACCGGGTCACCCGAGTGATCAAGCACCCTCTCTTCCGGCCTTTCAATTCGAAACAAGCGGAAGAGTACCTGGGCAGCCAAAACCGTGGTGACGTTGTGATCCGGCCGTCGTCAAAGGGCAACGATCATCTTGCGGTGACCTGGAAAGTGGCCGACGGCATCTTCCAACATATCGATGTGCTCGAATTGGACAAAGAGAACGAGTTCTCTCTGGGACGAACTCTGAGGATAGGTGGAAGATACAACTACTCGGACTTGGATGAACTGATTGTGCTGCATGTCAAAGCCATGGCCCGAAAAGTGGACGAGATGTGCAACAACGAGAAATTCCAGAACAAATCCAAGGCCGCATTAGGTGAGTTTGAGTTCCTTGTGAGCTTGATATGAGACATGACTGACGCTCAAAACAGAGGAGTGGCTAACCACCTATACCAACGCAAACCCCAAGCGCTCCATGTACCAATTCTGCCTCAACCGTGAACGACCCGGCCAGTTCCACCTTGTCTTCAAGGCGGGCCAGAACGCGAAGCTCATGGACTGGAGCGTGAGGGTAATCCCACAAGGGTTCGAGTTGATGAAACAGCCCTATCCCACGATGAAAGATCTGTGCAACGGCTTCAAGTTGATTTTCCAGAACATGCATGAGGCAGCGGCAATGGGCAGACCCATGCGAAGATAAAACCTCTGGGTATTTGGGATGGCTGAGTGTACCTGAAGACGGCCGCATATTGGTTGTGAATCTACAGCATACCGGCGAACCGTCTTGTTTTTGGAACAAAGAGCGGGTCTCCGATTGGCACAATTGTATTAGTACCGACATGATCCGGGAAAATGGGTTTAGATATGAATGGCATGGACTGACAGATATGCTGGCTGGCTGGTCAAGAGACAATCTGGTTCCCGTCACAAATGTTCCCAGAGAAAACTTGGCGCAGTTTATAAGTCCTCATGTCCCACCAACCTATGTGTATGCTACATGTCCTTTCTTTTTCAGCTCGTGTCTGTCTTGTTACACGCCCTTGTTAGCTTGTGTGCCTCTGACTGGACACTATTTTCAGCATCGAGCAGTTCAGTGGCTGCAGTTGATGGCACCAATTGGGAGCATCTCGTCAAGGTCTGACCTCGCATTAGCTCCTTCACCTTACTTCGACTGTGCCTGACCCTTGACCTCTTCGTATGTGGTAGGAAGCAGCTTACAGAACTACACCATGACCTCCCAGATGATACAGGAATCCTGCAGCTTTGCAGTGTTGACAACTTCCACGAATTCCATCCTCTAAGACTCGTAAAGAGCCGTGCACTTCGCGAAACGTTGGACCGTCAAGAGAACAGAAACACACTTGTGTTATGGGTGCTGGAAGGGCCTAGGGTAGGCTTGGACTTACCGGCAGTGGCGGTGAGTCTTGACTGTCGAGTCTCCAGGAGCAAGCGACATGATTTACATCAAATGGCAGCGATGCTCATACTGAGACATTCATCAGGCCGACTAACTGACCCGTCGCTACGATCCCTCGTCCTTCTGATGCCTCAGCGACAAGAAGACAAGAGACAATATGAAACTGCTGTACTCCGTCGGTTCAGCCTCGTTGCTGTTGCTGCAAGCCATCTGTGTCACAGCTGTTCCAATGCCCAGTGTTGTCCCTGGCAGTTCATGTAAATGTGTATGTTTGCAAGAAGGCTGAGTTCTCCATGTGTGGAAACATCTCTGACCACATGGCTATCTAGGTTCCTGACGACAAGTGCTGGCCCTCTGATGCCCTCTGGAAACTCTTCAACCTCACGGTTGGCGGAAACTTGATTACAACACAGCCTGTTGCGGCCTCTTGCTATCCCGGTCCTGCCTTCAATCCAGCTCAGTGTGCTTACGTTGATATCAATTGGTCCAGTGCTACATTCCAAGCAGATCTTGCCATCGGGCTCTCATATCCAACGAATATCACCTGTGCCCCTGTCAATTTGACCGTAGGCAACACTCCCCAGCAAACCTGCGCGCTGGGAGTGAGCCCGAGTTATGCAGTCAATTGTACGGACATACGACACGTCGCTTTGGCAGTTGTCTTCTCCAGGCTGTTCAACATCCGTCTGGTGGTGAAAAACACCGGCCATGATCAGCTTGGGCGCTCTGAAGGCGCCAACGGCCTGGAAATCTGGATTCGCCATCTTCGCAGCGGCATTACTTTCCAGAACACGTTCAAGCCTTCTACTCGTTGTACCGCAAGCAAATGGACTGGAGGCGCGTTCAAGATCGCAGGGGGTTACACGTGGGGAGATGTGGGCGCTGAAGCACAGAAGCACAACGTTGTTATCGTCAATGGTGGTACCCCGTCTGTCGGTGCCATTGGAGGCTGGATGCAGGGTGGTGGTCACGGGCCTGCGTCCCGAGACTACGGTCTCGGTGCAGATCAAGTGTTGGAGCTGGAGGTCGTGCTTGCTGACGGGACCCTCGTAATAGCTAATGCGTGCCAACACAGCGATCTCTACTTTGCCCTTCGCGGTGGTGGCGGCGGCACGTATGGCATCGTGGTATCGAGCACGGTCAAAGCCTACCCAATGGTCAATGTCACAGTTCAACATCTGGCCATGTTCCCCTTGAGCGCAGACACCTCTGGACTTCTGGACGCTGTTGCTATCTTATACTCATGCTATCCTGATCTCAACGACGCAGGCTATGCAGGCTATGGCCAGTGGTCAATCAACAGCCCAGCACCCATCTTCGCCAATGTGACCACTGGTTACCTCCACGGCTTCCGCATTTTTAACGCCACCATTGAGCAAGCTCAGACGGCCTTCGACGTGACCCGATCAAGACTGGCTCCCTTGAACCTGACCAGCGTCTTCATCTCTGAGAGTTATGCCTCGTATGCAGACTACTGGACATATTACCATGTCGAATCCGGTGTCGAACCGCCCGTCGGTCTGCCTGCGTACGGAGCTGGAAGCAGACTATTTGACCGTCCGTCGGTGACGCAGAACTCGAGCGCCCTGCGCAGTATGGTTGAGACCATCGCCGGCACGCCCAAGCAGTTGACGACCAACAACCTTGAACTCGTCGGCGGCGGGCAGGTGTTTCGGGACGCCTCTGACCCTTTCTCGGGCGTCACCCCAGCCTGGCGCACATCGTACTTTAGCAACATCGTCGCCCGGATCCCGTCGTCTCCCAACGCCCGGCAAGCAGAACTGGACGAGAAGCAACGCGACATCACGACCGTCAAGGTTCCCGCCATGAAGAAGCTGGCACCCCACACGGGCGCGTACATGAACGAAGCCGACCGATTCGACCCGGACTGGAAGGCCGATTTCTACGGCCCCGGCCACCACTACGCCAGGTTGTTGGCCATCAAGAGAAAATACGATCCGCACGACCTCTTCTACTGTCCCACGTGTGTCGGGAGTGACGCCTTCGAGATGGCGGCTGAGGGTGGCAGGCTGTGCCGAGTCAGGCGCGAGGATAATGAAGAGCAGAACCCAATGTGAGCGAGGCTGGAGAAGAAGGTGGGTTTGCTATTCTTGTTCAACACTCTCAAAGAATATTGTGTCGGGGTAAGGGAGGGTCAGCTATATGAACAGAGTACATACATAGCTGATGGAGAAACCACAAAGCACATGTCAAGAGAGACAATAACTCGTAGAAAATAAACTGCCACTTTGGTCGCCGTGGGAGGGTGTCTCGGTTGGAGTCTGAGAAAGACGGTCTCGCTACAAAGACAAATACATCTATTCAATCTATTTCGTCTACTGGACCACGAAAACATGTTTGATATACTACTACCGGCCGGTACGCTGCCCCTTCGCCATCTCTGCTCTATAGTTTCCCTCTAGAATGCTTATGCGTGGGCTCAGCTTCAACGGGAGGGCGGTCTCGCTTCCGGTCCGTGAACGGATAAGGGTTGATGTCGACCTTGTTCAACGGGTTGAGCTCGCTGGCTCGACGGAACAGATCGGGGTAGACCTGACCGTCGTACCGGCCCAGAGAACTGTCGAGCAGCCAGTCGGGAAGTTTCCACGAATCCACCAGACGGACGGCGTGTGGACGGATGCGTTTCAGCAAAAGGGGCAGGTTGTTGCGAGACAGATCCTCGACTTGTGCGACCGTGAGGGTCCCGGAGACGTAGAATCCCTGGGGTTCCTTGGTGATCAGGTCGGTCGCGAAGAGGCGGAACAAGTCCCATAGCACATTGGCGGACTGGGGTCCCAGCTGGGTGTTGGTCCGTGGGTTCTTGAGCTCGACGGAGAAGTGGTGGACGGCCAGGAACTCGGCGTGGGCGCGACACAGTCTCCAGTAATCGGGGAGCAGCTCGTTGTGGGCAGTATGCTTCTCGTCGATTTGTTCCAGAATCTGGAAGGTGTAGAATGCGGCTCTCCGTCCGAATATCGAGACAATGTCCTGGTCGTTGTCGAGATCGTAGTTGACGGTCGCTCCCCCTGGACGACGAAAGGCTTGGAGATTGTCCACGGTAAACCCTGGAAGGGCGTTGCCGCGCAGGACAGATCGGGCGGCATTGATCAGCTAATTAAATGGCTCTGGCGTCAGTGTTTTTCCCAACAGACTTTGAACACATGGATGAGGAAAAACCCACATAGCGGGACCCCTGTGAAGACAGGATGTAGTTGTCGCCGTCGAAGGTCATGGTTGGCAGATACTCGGCGTACCAAGAACCAATGCCACTGAACAGCGAGTAGCCGTGACCACCACAGGCTCTCCGGGCAGTTTCCAAGCCTTCCGCTGCCGTGATGCTTGCAAACACCTTAAGTACACACGACGTACTGTGCATTTCGGCAAAAAGATCCTTTTCCTTTGGAGTCTCCGACAAACTCCCCCCTTGGCCTGGCAATGACTCTTTGGCCAGTCGATAGAGGGTTTGCATGGCGGTCCCGGTAAATTGAAGGGCAAAAGTTGCCGCGACTAGGGGCAAGAGACGTGCGTGCACAGTGGTATAGTCGAGAACCTGCATCTCCGGCCCTTCTGGGAGAGGTTGAGAGGTCTGAGGATCGCGAGCTCGAAACTGTCGTCGGACGGCAGAGTAACGGATGGCGATGGTGGTGCCCCTTGCCAGACCCCGGGCTGCATCCGCAGCCACTCTCATGCGTGCATACGTGACTGTGCCATACACCAACCCTGGGGCTGCCGGCTTGATATATCTGCTTGTGTCTGGGTCGACCCTCGAGAACCTGCAAGCAGACGGCGTCAACGGCCGACGATCATGGTGTGGAGGATTGCGCTAGGGGAGCGGGGGGTTGGGTACCTGGCCAACATGTTGACATGGGGAATCTTGACATTGTGCAAGAGTAAGAAGCCGTTGTCCATCGTGCTATGAGGTGTCAATGGTTTGTCAGAAAGGCAGCACTTCATCGAGTTGATTTACTTGTAGCCCATCTTCGGCCCTATGTCCCCCACGTAGACCCCCTCCAGAGGCTGGTGCGACGTCAGATCTCGCAAAGGGCATATGAATGGATGAGGCCCGTAAGAACGTCCTTCGATGACCAATTGCGCCATGACCACTGCGTAGTTTGCTGTGCGGCCCAGCGTGCCAATCCACCATTTTGAGGCCGTCAGGAAGGGCGAGTTCAAGACAAAGGTTTTGTCGTGAGGGCACCACGTCGCCCGTGTCTCTAACCCTTGGACATTGGATCCGTGGCCCAATTCGGTCTGTGCATAGCAGCCGATGATTTCAAAGTTCAGGGCTTTTTGAAGGAATAAGTCATGTTGCTCCGGAGTACCTTGGTCTCGCAAAGTCGTCTGAAATACCCAAAGATTTCGTGTCATCATCATATCAGCCTCGACACCAGTAGAAATGAAAAAAAAAACGGCTAAGAGCAGACCGCAGCAGGCCTGACAAGGCTTCACTCACAGCCTCAGGGTGGTGAGGCTTACGATGAACATGCCCCAGTGCAGGGCGTAAGGGACCGCTTCGCCTAACAGCTCAAGGGCTGCCCACAACTCATCATCGGTCCATTTATGTTGGATTTGGAGGGCAGCAATGCGCTTTGCTCTGACAAGGGCTTTCTTCCATCGCTCCGTCCGGCCGTCGTAATAATTGCTCGTCTTTTCGAAAGCTGGATCAGCCTCGAGGATCTGGAGAAGCCGCTCTTGTCTTTCCAGATAACCCTCTGGATAGAAGAATCGTGCGATCTGATCAGTGTCAATGGTGGACTTTGCTCGTTCGCCGGCCAGGGAACTTGACCCCTGGGGCTCTGACGGCGTCAAAGCCGCAACCCACGGGGGCAGCATCGGATTCCAGGTTCAAAATTCAAATCAAATGAGCCAGTCACACCACAGTTGGAGCTGGGAAAAGGAGTCCACAATGTCGATGCCCCGAAGGAAAAAGCAATTCGAAGATAGTGGGAGACAAGTATTTATGGCGCACCCTCTCAAACAGTGGTCAATATGACCGAGGTACAAGGCTGGGGTAAGCAACATCTTGGCCTGGCACAGTCGCTGAGTATGTGAGAATGTATATTGATTGCTTCCCCTGGGTAGGAGGGCCGTAACCGAGGTCTTGGTTCGCAGCATGGTGGAATCTGGGAGTCTGCAAATCTGTACCGCCGAAAAGCTGGATTGCCGAAGAAGCGCCAGACCATCAAACGGCTTCGTTTGCTAAGTCTCGAAGGAGGTGCGAGACCGGAAGCTCAAGATTGACTGGTTCTGTTGCATCTGTTGGCGGACTTGACGTGGTTGGGAGAAAGGAAACTTGACCGGCTGATTGATTTCGTCAAGTCCCCACGTGACTATGGCGTCCCTAGCTACAAGTGCGCACCCAAGCCTAGTGCAGCCCCAAAGAACCCACACAGGTTGTTTCTCCATGGACACCTGGGCACCTACAAGTTGGCGCCATGGTGCCCACGCCTCCCCAGGTCATTCTTAAATGTGCGAAGAACAGTAGTCCCAGACTGCGCCTGGAGATGCTGCGCCCCTTGAAATCTATCATTTCAGGTCTGTTTCATCTACACGCATCACATACTTCTTTGCACTCGCCCTTCCCTGCTGCAGATTCCTCAGTGCTACTGGCAGACCTCTCAACCCGTTTGCCACAATCTCAAAGGGATGCGCAGTGAGCCAGCCATCCATCAGTCCCCTCGCCAGGACACTCGAATAGACGGCTCCAAAATCATGCCCATGTCCGCCCGGATTGAACTTGATGCCCGACTTTGCATCGACAGGGAAAGTCCCGGTATGGACATAGCCCACGTAAGTGAGCGAGGTGAGAATCTTTTCAGCCACAAGCCCATAGTCCTTCTCGATGAGGACGAAGGTCGCGTGTCCATTGGGGGCAAGCAATCGAGCCATCAGTTCTGGAGATCCATGCTCCGAGATACAGTCGAAAGCGTGTCTGACAGATTCAATACCTCGCTCTTTCAGTGCTTGACGCACCCGGGTTATAATGTGCTCTTCACCCTCACGATAGTCGACAACCACGTCCCCTTTCGACCGATGAATCAAGGTCTCCACCACGGTCTTTCCACTACCGGCGATGGCGATGATTGGATGAATATTTGATCTGCAAGCGAGCTTCAACACAAAGGCCCCAACAGCGCTCGAAGCGCCATAGACAATGAGCGGATTCGGAACGGTGGCCGGCTCCCATGGTGGTGTCAATTGCAGGCAGTGGTAGAGCCCAACAGCCGCCGTGAATGCAGCAAGAGGGATAGTTGCTGCCTGCCCACGCAAACAAAGGATCAGCCTGTTTGCTGTAGCCTAACTGAAGGTCTCATTCGTCTTACCTCTTCGAAAGATACGTGGTCCGGCAAATGAAGAGCTGTATGCGCGGGGGCGATGGCATATTCTGCGAAGCTGCCGTGGGCTGTGCGCATCTGATGAAAAGCAGCAACCCGATCCCCTTTCCGGAAACCGACTACCATTTCCCCAACCTGCTCGATTATCCCCGCTATATCGTCTCCCGAATTGGATGGCCTGTTGCTGTATGCCACTGATTTCCAGTCCTTGCTGCAGAATGTCTCATTAGTGGGAATCTCTCCACCATTGAGAGCGGCTCTTTTCAGAAAGATGATGTGCTTTTTTAGGTCTGGGTACTCACGGATTACACCCCGTGCAAATCACCTTGATCAAAAGTTCCCCTTGTCCGGGACCGGGGACTGGGGACTGAATGATTTCCACCTCCAGGGAAGGTTGAACAATGGCTTCCAACATATCGATCCTCGGCATCGGGGCTTATTTTGGTGATTCCCAGACCCGATGATATAGATCAAAGAGGTAAGTTTGGGTCGATCGTTTGTTTGCTGTTTGCACGGCTGACCGCCATCGAAGTCGCTTCAAGTGCTGCTCTGTGCTTTCAATATAACCCTATTGTTCGGTGTTCGTGTCAATCCCGGCTTACTTGAGCAACTATAAACAGATTTTTCCTCGGTGAAGGACGGTCAACCGCTCGTTGATGGGGTGGCCCTCATAACGACCAAACTTGGCATATAAGGGGTAACACCTCCATGGCGAGAAGGGGCGACAAATCTGGAGAGAGCACTCTTGAAGGAGACGTCGATAGTCAACATGTATTGGCCATTCGCCCTTCTACTTACCCTCCTGGTTGTCTATGTTGCCCTCAGACCGTCCACCGAGTCTAACCTCCCAAACGGTCCTCGAGTACTTCTCAATGAGAAAGATCGCCGCACCAAACTTCACCTCTACCTCGCTCTGTGGGCAAAAACATACGGAGACTTCTTCTCATATCGAATAGGCCACTCTACCGCAATCGTGCTCAGCAGTATGCAAGCTATTGAGGAGCTACTGATCAAGAAGGGTCACATTTACAGCTCGCGCCCGACGAGTTCGTCCCAGGCAGACATCATTACCGGGAAGGCAAGGATTGTGAATATGCCATATGGAGAAGAGTTCAGGGTACTGTCCACCTATCTTATATCAGTTTGAAACGCAGGTCGAAGAGAACTGATTCAACCCATAAACACCGTAAAATCATCCATACACTTCTCGGAATACAGAACGCAAAGATCTTCCTCCCTTATCAGGAGTATGAGAGTCGCCAAACTCTGAGAAACCTGCTGCACAGTCCCGACCTCTTCTACTCGGAAATGTCGCGGTACTCGGCCAGTGTGACGTTCTCGCTTTTGTAAGTGCCGCTTCATGATTGTTGAAAGAAATTTATTATCGTGACCTGGGGTCGTGAACCATTCCTAACACATTGGGATTTGCTCCCACAGAGTTGGCGCTCGCTTTGACCGCTCGGATGCATTCCTCCCAACGTAAGTCGGCGCCTCCATTGAATTCTCAACGACGCCTTCCCGTGGGTTGCGCGGTTCAGAAACAAAGTCCACTCGGGGCTAAAAGTATCGCAGGATAATTGGTGAAATGATGCAGAAATTTTTTAACAGTATGTTCGAGACATCTGGGACTACTGTGACCGATCCAGATTCTAATCAGCCCAAGATATCACGCCGGGAGCCTGGCTTGTCGACCTCTACCCCTTCCTGGACTATCTTCCTGGATTCCTTGCTCCCTGGAGGTCCCAAGCATACTCTATTCATCGCGAATTGCGCAACTTCTGGAACGTCTTCTTCCATTCTATCGAAGAGCGAGTTAAGGAAGGTACTGCGCCGGACTGTTTTCTGAGCAGATTCATACGAGATCCCGAATCGCAGCATCTGAGTGAGATTGAACGGATCACTGTGGCGGCCGAGCTCCTCACGGCGGGCACGTAAGTTCTTCTGGCCCACACAAATGTTCGCTTTTCTCTCGTCTAATGGTTGGGCGCTTACGTGGACCATTCAGCGAGACGACAGCAACGACCTTGCAATGGTTTTTCAAGGTGTGTGCTATACAGTCGGAATGGATTGTCGAAGCCCAAAAAGAGCTGGATACTGTCGTTGGGAGAGATCGCTTGCCCGATTTCAGTGACAGGGAAAGTCTGCCATACATTACAGCTGTGGTTTCGGAACTTCATCGATGGGCATCCGTCACACCATTGGCGTTCTTCCATGCCACCTCCCAGGACGATACGTACCGCGGCACCACCATTGCCAAATCCACAGTGGTGATCCCGAATACGTACGCTGTGCATCACTCGGATGAGTACTTTGCGAACTCGTCTGCGTTTCTTCCAGGACGGTGGCTTTCGCCCGAAGACCCACGGCACGTCCACGACGGTGCAAAGACGGCCAATCACCTCGCATTCGGCCTCGGGAGAAGAGAATGCCCCGGCAAGCATGTTGCGGACTCGAGCCTGTTCATTGTTATCAGCCGGATTCTGTGGGCCTTTGACATTGAACGTGGCAACCCTCCCCCAAGCGATGAAACAGGTGAGTCATGCAAGAGTGGCTTGGCTCCTCTCTAAATCTCCCTTCTCAGCCTCTGTCACGGGATCATGTCGGGAATTGAAGACGGAAAGCTCGAGCTAACAGTGGCCATCTTTCGTTTAGTGGGAGCACTTCCAGTTCTAGGTTGCGCCCCGTTCAAATGCAGAATAACTCCTCGGTCGGAAGATGCTGCGAGAAAGATTCGCCGATTTGCAGACCACATCGACCCGGGACTACACGTGGAGGACGGGAGTACCTACGATGCGCAGGTGCAAGCTGTATTGAGTCAAAGTCGGATCTGAGTGGAGGTCGTTGATGAAAATGTAACAAACCACACCACACAGTATTGCAAAGTGCAGTATAGAAATCGATCGAGGCGACCTGACATAGATCAATGAACAACACAGACACCGGCGTCAGGTCTTTTGCAGAAGATGGCACTAAACCATGGAGACACACCGAATATGGAGCAATCGTCGCTCCCCACCTGGCACGTCTAGCGTCTCTTCCCTGCTCTTCTTCCTATGCCAGCCCTTAGGGGAATACGACTGGGATACAGACCTACTGATAGGGGCTTCAAGAATGCAGAACAGTCTGTATCTGTGTGTACTTATATGGTATCTAGGCGGGGGCTGATTATATGGTCACGTGCTGAACAACGACAAGGCTGAACCGCCCCCTTTTTCCTCACATGAGGTTTTAGTCTCTCGACGACTTCAATTTTCAAAGCACAGTGCATGATGGAGAGATTGTATCTTCTTTCATTTTTCTCATACTTTGTATTCTTCACACCCTGTTTCTTTTCCTCCAACTGAGAGTGTTCTCCCCCCCCCCCCCCCCCCCCCCCCCCCCCCCCCACCCCCCCTGGGCTTTACTTTTAGTCACTGCTTTGAAAAAAAGTGACATACCTTTCCCCTCTTGATCGGGTGGACTAGCGAGAGCCCAGCTATCCCTGTGGACCAGCTGTATGTGGAGGTGTAAACTACGGTGGTGGTGGTGGTGGTGGTGGTGAAGAGGAGTTACAGGTAATCGTACACCATGGCGGTGTAGACGACGAAGAAGAAGACGGTTGGGGTGCGAAAGAACATCTTGGTGGGCCGAACGAGAGCCTTTGTGATGGTGGTGCGCGGCGTGTCCCCGGTCGATATCTTGGACTGGTACTGAAAGTCGCCTGTCTCCCTGCGGAGGCGCGCGGCCTTTCGTTTCAGCAGTACGGGGGCGTAAGTCTCGCGCAACCCTAGGAAGCTGAGTACGGTGGCTACGCCCAAGAGAATCGTGATGCACTTGAACACCCACCGCTAACCGGCCTCGTCGGCGAAGGCTTGAGGCATACATTTATATGTATACTCTCAGTGTCCACCCTTGATATCTCACATATATATGTGCCCTGGATTGAATCAAGTGACGAAAGGATCGAAAAATTGCCACTAGCGTGCAGGCATATAGCCAAAACATAATAATCAGTCACAGCTATGTAGGGAACAATAGTCAATATGCAACTGGGATCCCGAAGCATAAACTACTCGTAGTTCCTGACAACGGCATTCAAATCGCACCCCTATATAGCTCGCCCAGTCCTCGCGGCGCGATCCCTCGTCATCGGCTATGCCACGATACAACATCCCAGTTCAGGTCGTCGCCCTCAACTTCCCCTCGACGATGCCCGCGGCCGCTGCTGGGGCGCGGTGGATTTGTACAACCTCGAGCCCGACGCTGTCGAACAGTTTGCGGAAGTCCGCCTCGGTCCGCTCCTTGCCGCCCATGACCATGCACGCGACGTCCAGCGCGGCCGTGTGGGCCTCCTTATCTGTCATGATCTCCGGAAGTAGCATGTCGGCGATGAGGACGCGCGAGTCGGCCGCCATGGCCGGGATGACCTGGTTGAGCGCTTTAGCGCAGAGTTCGTCGCTGTAGTCGTGGAAGACTCGTCGGAAAAAATACGCTTTGGCGCCTGTGCGGGATCAGTCAGTCAGATATGTAGCCCACCAGCTTGCATACAAATCTCGAGATTGGCAGAACAGCAAGAATCCAGACCTGTAGGGCCTCTTAATTTTTGTCCTAGACCCAGAGGACTCACCTTTGACAGGCTGCTCGGTCCAGAAATCGTGCTCCATCAGCTTGACTCCTTCGGGAGGAATCTTCTCTTTCTCAGCCATTGCTATCACATCCGTTTGATCTTGTAAAACCACATTTCGGGGATCAAGCTCCTTGTACTCGTCCAGGACCTTCTTTAGGGTGTTTCCTACTCCACCACCGATATCCACCAGAGCAGCTCGGTCGGGGGTTTTCTGCAACTCCTCTTCGGTTAATTTCAGTTGATTAAAGTCGTAGTATCCAATAATGGGGACCAAATTGTCGCCCATTTTCAGCCCCAGCTGGAATGTCTTCAACTTCTCCGGATCTTTGGACATGATCTCCCACGTCGTCAACCCAGAGTCGCTTGCGTTGTGGTAGTCCGAGTATGGATTGACGTAGAAAGACGTCGGCTCCACGGCCCCATGCTTTGCCAGGTATGTAGGAAGGTCCGTCATGGGCTGGAGGAAGTGGTCAAACATCAAGGTAAAGAACATTCCGGGGAAAGAAGTATACGCCTGGGAGAACTTGGTGGATCCATAGGTGCCATCGTTGGACGACTGGGTTATGAATCCCGAAGCAACCAGAGGGCGCAGTAGTCTTTCTGGACACCATTGTGTCAGTTTCACCCCCTAACCAACTGACCTTCTCTGCTCAGGCGGGATCATGGTGACTTTATCACCAGCAGAGACTCAAAGCAGAACAGAAGCCTTACCAAGCAGCGCATCCTGCACACCGGATACCTCACTTAACTCCTTTGAGCTGATGGTCTTTCCTTCTTCGACTGGCATCTTCTCAAACACCTTAAGGTCCAATAGCGTACGGATAGAGACCAACTCGGCCATTTGCAACGAGTGGGCTTGTACCATCATTCCTGGGTCCATTAGAGAATGCATAATCTTCCTAGTGAGGCTGACAAGAGCCGCTTTCGGTGCGAGAGACGCGGCATCATGGCCTGTGGTAGGCACGTAGTTGTTAGTGAGTTGTGAGAGCTCATTAACGAGTGAGACGAGATCCCCAGCCATTTTAGCCGGCCACCGTGATCCGATTGTGTGCTTGGAAAATTGGATAGTAGTGTCCTTTATGTCAGAGGATAGGCACGAGGCCCAAGAGGTGTGTCTTGGTGACCTCTTACCCAGTTCTTCGGCCGAATGACAGATTCAGATCGATAGGAAGCTGTTGGGTAAGTAACAGACGTTGTCTTTCACTCCCCCGGTGGGCGAAGTGGTAATTGAAACCATCAAATACCTCAGACAGTAGGGACACAGCGGTTCCCACATAAGTGCATAGCGGCCCTCCGCCGAATGGACGTGGTTGTCAATAGACAAGTCATTCGCTGGGCGGAAGTTCCAGTGGGAGCATGTACCCTTCACAACCTGTTTCATGCAAGTCGAGGCCGTATTGCCAGCGCATCGCCAAGTGAGACGAGGTACATGGGCTCAGTTACGGATTTTGACGCATCATTGGCGCTGTTTCGGTTCGAGCAGATGGAATCGTCAGATTCACTAACGCCCTGCATGCGGCGAGCCTCTGGAAGAAAAGAATGACATGGTCTGACAGAGAAAAGACACCATCTCGGACTGAATAGCGACCGGCAGATCAAGTATGTATACAACTCGACAAGAAGCTAGTATCACTGACAAGGATAGGAATGCCATCACGCCTAAGTAGAGAATAAATGCCCACTTATGACATCGGCTCGGCGGGTGGTGACACCGGTGGATGCGCCTTAGGTGCCTGCGTCGGGCCTAATTGATCCGCAGGCCCCAGTGCGTCTGGGCATCTCCCAATGTTGCAAGGACTTGCATGTGCATGCGTTGGTCAAGAATACAGGTTTGAGACTGGTTGAAAAGGGAAGCGAAACCCGAGACAGATCAAGTGTGAAAATATACATCACTTCCGGTGTTACTGACTAGTTACAAGAATGGCTCGGACGAGGGAGTCGTTGCACAAGAGATAGAATATAGAGCCCGTCGTCCAGCCTTCTGAACAGCCTCAAACGCCTCCCTGTGGCCGGAGTAGCGCTGGTGTCTTTGAGTCGAGATAATCCTTACTGCCTTAACCACCCATAGAAATCAGTCCCTCCTCTGTGCCCGGAGGGGTTCAGTAGCCTATCCAAATCCCCCAAACTCCGTGTGTTCCCAGCATAGTCTTGCTAAGATCCAAAAGAATGTGCCCTATCCTTCCCAGCGTAAAATTCAACCCAAAATCAAGCAACCTTCAACGTGGACTCATCCATTCATGCTCCTGTCCTGAGGCGCCGTCCGGACCGACATTGCTGTCGTGTGTATCATAGCTCGGTTCGTATATCATATTCTCGAGTAATCCATCCCCGGGTGTATTCAAGGCATCATTGCCTCCGCCTCCTCGTCCGTTACAAAGATCTCAGCCACTGGGCAGTGGTCCTCGTCTCCAAAGTCTCCGTCGTAGAGTTTCTTTCGACCCCGCTCCCCATAGCGTCCAAGCATATAGCTCGGCAAGAACAACTCATCATTCCATGTAAACCCTTGGCTATATTTTGTGTATGTGATCAGTCGAGGAGGCTCGTCGGGATCGTCGTGATGTGCATTCAGGTTAATGGACTTGTACGAGGAGGAAGAGAGCATCGAAGGACCGAGTGGAGAGGAGGAAGCGTTAAAGAGCATTGGCATGCTGCTGGGTGGTGGTAAGCCAGCCTTGTGCTTGTCTTTCCGCTGTGATGTGCTGGGCTGGTCTTTGGAATGCATTGAGCTAGGCAGACGGACCCCCTCGCCCGGTGAGGGAGCAATGTTATGGAGCAGATGTTGAGGACGTGTGAGAATAGGACTGTAGGACCAAGGCGTATCTTGGTCAGATCCGGAGCCTAACGAGGATGGTCCAGCATCTGAAGAATCGGCTCGTTCCGCGTTTTGGAGGTAGCGTTCACTTCGTCGACGTCGATTCGACGGGGAGTAATCTCCAGAATTACCAGGATGTAAAGGTATCTTGATGGCACGGGAGCCGGGAGGAGGAGGAGGAGCAGAGGAATCAGCCATTTTGTAACCACACCGCCTGCGGAAGTCGACAAGGCCTAGTAATGAAGGCAAGTGAAGAGGATTATAGAAACGCCTTCCACCGAGCTCCGATAACAGCAAAGGAAATCACCAGCCTGTAAGTGATTACCTGTATGTGATGTACATGAGAGTGGTGTGGACTGGGAAGAAGGGTCTCAACGTGTTTAAAAGAAGGGTTGGGGGAGGGCACTTGAATGCGAATCATCCAAGGTCACGTTGACAGATTGAGTCACCGCCCGAGTCACTATTCGAGTCAATCAATGATGCTGCTGTAATGATGCCGGCCACTGCCTGGCGCCGCCTGCGGGTGCCTCGCTCCAGTGACCCCGCATTATTTTCGCGATAACGATAAGACATGCATCAGACCCACCACAATCAAGACTGTGATTGGCTACAGCGGAACAAGGCGGGGTGTTTGTGGTCGCATCATATTAGGCTCCGGGCCTATCATGCACGCTACAGTACAACTGGATTATCCCCAGCACATAAATCCTCCTTAGGCATAATACCATGGTTCATCGAAGACGTGGTATCGATGTCCACGAACACCCTCGCCACGGAACAATGCTGGAAACCTTTGCCCGGGCGGGACTTGTTCTTCTGGAATCCTCTCGTCCGTATATGAAACCGGCTCGCCAACCACAAATTTGCCAACCTGCATTGCGTCAGTCATGTCCAGTCGAAAGTAAAGCAGTGTTCAATGTGCGCTTACCTGGATCTCGGTGTCTGTGATGGTACCCCTGCTGACCCGGGCATAGCCCACACGCTTGATGTCCTTGTACAAAATATACTCGCACCACCGATCCCAATCACGGGCATCAATGTCGTGCATTCCACTCACTTCACTCACATAGGTGTTGTAGTTGCCTTCTCCCGGCTTGACCACGAGGTAACTGAGCAAGATTGCGGGTCGGGATGTCGCCCCCATCCGTTGGGACAAATACTCCGACTGAAGACGTCGATCTTCGGGATCTTCCTCTTGTCCGGAGTGGAAAACAAAAACGTCAACTTGTGTTCCGTAGACATCCAGGGTAGCTTCGATGGCTGGCGCCAGCTCACCGACTGGTGAAGGGAGCAAATGGTGAGTCGAGTTGAGAATGGGGAACTTGGATAGGAGTGCTGAACCCCACGTATGCTTGTTAGGCCCTGGACCATAGTCCACGTACATGCCCAAGTCCTCGGCAAGATATTGTGTGGTATCGCGGTTGCCCATGATAATCCGTTGTAAATCAGACTCCAGCAATCCGACCACATCTAGCTCCAATTCCTTGATGGCATCGCGCATCCTCCGCTCAGATGACCAGTCGTCGTTGTCCAGGGAGAAGTGGATGGTCCAGATACCGGCGGTGATAAGCTTCTCGTCGGGATGGTAGGGTGTATAATCATATGTTGGGAAACGCAAATATGCAATCGAGGCCGTCAACAGCTGTAAAGCAAGCAGAACATGAAGGTAGTAGCTGGTTTGCTTCCTTCCGCGAGGACTCGACTTGCTCTTCGGCTGATAGCTGGAATTGGTGGTCAAAGCAGAAAACACACCCGCTCCGATCAGGAGCATTGTAGTGGTCATCACCCAGTCTGTATGTTCTCGGACTAGAGGCCCTCCGGGGACAAATGCATATGCCACAACCCAGACGTGGAAGAGAACCATGATGTTGTACACAAAGTAGCCCAAGCCAAATGTAGACGCCGGGCTGTGTTGAGCCGCAGAAGAGATAAGCACCGGAGCGACTCCCATCGTGTAGAAAGCAAGCATCAGACCGCCGTAGTAACCGGTCCACTCGCTGTAACATGTTAGTAAGGCTGCGCCAACAGCCCCCAACCCGTAGGCTGTCCACGACCCAAAAAACCCGGGGAGGGCAGCTCCTAGGAATAATCCAAGGCTCATCACGGCAATCGTGACCGCACCGTGAGGAACAGCCAATGGACCTCGCACAGGGTAGCCCTCCCAGACCCAGAGAATCATAGTGCTAGAGTCTGAAAGCAAAGAATGCATGGTAAAAAAGAGGCCGCCCAGACCAAGCGCAGCCAAAACACTTGACCCTTTCTTCACACCTGGAGGAATATAGTCTCCTCCACTGGACGTATCTGGTCGGGTGGATCGCCAAACAGCCGCCAGGGCTATGACCAGACCAGTCTTGTTCCAGCCGCCGATCCCGGAGTGCAGTACCGGCCAGACAGGGTTGTTCGTATGATTTGCGAACTTCGCAATGCTCGACAGCACCAATCCAATGCACCACGCGAAAATTCTCCTCTGAAGCCGAGCCGAATTTCTGCGTTCTGCGTACCATTCTGCTGACCAGGCCATGCAGCCCAACAGGACAGCAAGTCCAACAGTGAACAAACGGTATGCCGGATCCTTCACCAACCAAGCCACGAGTCCGACTAGGGAAGACATATGAAGCCAACGGAGGTGCTTGATCGCAAGAGAGCGAACAAACGGGATGGCAAGAATCAAAGGAGAAGCAGGAACCATGACCATGACTTCGTAACCAGAGATTCCCATATGCCATAGCGGGAAGTACCATATCAGGACGCCGAGGGATGTGAGGATAGACCAGAAGAAAAATCCGTGGAGAATATCGGCAGTCGCATCGAGCATTGCCGGCCAATAGTACGGTCCATCAAAGGTGGAAGTCTGAATTAGAGGGTTTGCGCGGCTGGGGTCTATTAGCAGAGCCAACAGAATAATGTAGTTGAACTCACTCCTTGTCTTTCAGAGCATCCTTCAATAGTTTCGTATCACTAGAGCACTGTCAGTAAATCACCAAGCCAAACTTCGACTTGTCCGTACATTTACGTATTTTGGGAGCAACTGCACGTACCCTCTGGTGGAGCCCTTGACATCTTTGATCACGAATTCAAAGGTTTCATAGTCAAGTGCAGTGACAGCATCAAAAGCCACATCGAACAAGATCAGAGACCATTCGAAGAAAGCGTAGATGGTGTAAGCTTGACAAATCAGCCAATGCCCTAGAATGTGCCTGAGAGACTCACCGCCAGCGACTTTATGGATTTTATGCTGGATAAAGAAGTAGATCAAGGGTACAAGAGTACCAAAGAACAAGCTCGCCAAAATTTTGCGGTATTTGACAGCCTTCGGATTGGGCGGACTCAAGGCAAGGCATCCCAATGTCCACGGGAGCGTAAAAACCAGGTATGAAATCATGAAAATATCATGCCAGTCATGGTCGTCCGTAGATGTAACGTATGTCCATCCTCCACATGTCAATGTTCTTAGCAACCCCGTGGATGCAATTATCGCCGGCAGATTCGAGTTCGGTTTCCTCGTCAGGAAGTACCACAAGGCAACAAGGACAAATCGGGGTCCGGAAGTAATGGCAATGAAGACCATAAAGACCGATCGCTCAGGATATCGATCACCAATGGTGGCCGAAACGGAAGGAAACCATTCATCGGGGTATCCATAGTGTTCGTTCTGGACAATTTTGTGGTAATGGAGGGAAACACCAACAATCAATGCTCCGAGAAAGGCTGCGTATGCGACAACTGTATGCGTCCATGACACCCATTTGCCGTTGAACTGCGAACCGTCAGTTACCTCGAAAAGGAAAACAGCTGTGTTGGGTGCTTACAGAGAACACCACGTCCCCGTCCTTCCTGGGCGCCATTTTGGTGTATCAGCGGGATTAAAAGACTGCCAGCTGCATCTGGAGAAAAAAAAGAGAATGAAAGAGTGACAAGAAGGCGTATGAAAGCTTCAAGAAGTTAATGCTACACACTGCGCATGGGGGATAGACGAAGGTTCAGTCACCTTCACAACCCCCTGATTATTATCCGCAGCCCAAGTAACCAAGCGGGAAAACTGCGGGTCAACTTATTCCTGGCCAGAAAAAAAGTTCCGCAACATCAGTCCTCCACCGTTATTTGGTTCTGCAAATTCCACCAGAAATACGTACAAGTGCAATATTATGGCTGCTGCAAGCGACAAGGCCCGATTCTTCCTCGAGCAGTCAATACCAGAGTTGAAAGAATACGAACGCAAAAGCATCTTCAGCGCCGAAGAGATTACCAGCATTGCCCGCAAACGCTCCGACTTCGAGCACAAGATCAACGCCCGAGGATCCACGCCCGCGGACTTCGCTCGCTATGCTGAATTCGAGATAAACGTTGACGCATTGAGGCGCAAGAGAGTTAAGAGATTGGGAGTCAAGTCCACCGCACACAATGGCAAGCGTCGCATCTTCTTCGTCTTTGATCGCGGAACTCGCAAGCATCCCGGTGACATTGGTCTTTGGATGGAGGCAATAGACTTTGCGAGAAAGCAGAGGGCCTACAAAAAGTTGCAGGAAATGTTGACTCAGATCCTTCGGTTACATCCTACAAAGTCCGACTTATGGATTCACGCCGCCCAACATGCGATGGAAGATAACGGTGATATTACGGAAGCGAGGAGCTACATGCAACGCGGTCTGCGGTTTTGCAGAGGATCGAAAGCAATGTGGTTGGAGTATGCCCGGCTGGAAATGTCTTACATCGCAAAAATTCATCTCCGTCGAGAAGTCCTGGGCATCACCACCGGAAAGCCCGATCGACCAGGACAAAGAGAGCAGGGGGATACAGATGAGAATCTTCTTCGCTTGCCAAGACTGACAGCTTTGGACATATCCCCAAACAGTGAGAGTGACGACGCTGACCACTCTGCGCTTCAAAGACTGGAATCGACACCTGCGCTGAGTGGTGCCATTCCGATTGCGATATTCGACGCTGCTATCGATCATTTCCGTGATCCCAGATTCGGCTTGGACTTTTGCCAAATGCTTCTCGATTATGACGGCATCCCGGCTTGTCGTAAGGTTGCGGACCATGTGGCGGCATCCTTGTCGAGAGAATACCCACAGAGTTGGTGCACCCAGGCGTGCTATATACAGCTACCACTTGTTTCGATACCCCACGATTCTCCCGACTTCCCCTCTGCTCTCAGGGACATGCTCGCACGACTGAAGAAGGCTCGGAGTAGTTCCGAAACCCCTGAGTTAGTCGGCTGGGCCAAATCATCGCTCGAGAAGCTCCTGCAAACACCAGATTTGGATCCGGCGATTAGGGTTGTGGCAGAATCTGTTATCAAGTCCTTGGGTGGACCTGCATCGACTTAGTTAATCTAGATCTCCCTTTGATCTTGACTGCTTCTTGCTGGATTGTATTTTCTTCCTCTTCAGTCTAGCTTCATTTTCTGCCTTTTGGAACCTTTTGACCTTTTCGTTCTGTGCCTCTGTCGTCTCACCAGGAACGGCAGCATTGTACACATCCAATATTAATTCGTTGAGCTTCCGGAAGCAGGCATCCTTGTTTACTTGAGCCTTTCGACTCTCATCGGCCTGGATGACCAAGCTCGACGACTTCTCAGCATAATACCGGGAGGACAAGATACCTCGATGCAGAACAACAGGGATTAGAGGAAGGAGATGATCGATAGGGACACGCAACTGTGCCTTTGAGTTGACTCTATAGCCACCAAGTCAGAACCTTTCAGCGTCTAACAATAGAAGTTGACCGTACTTGTTCACATTCTGACCACCAGGACCGCTGGATCTGGCATAAGTCACCTCTCCGATGTCGCGCAAAGACTGTAATGTGTTGGGTTTGCTGTACCACTCCCTTGCCGCCGTGTAGTCAGATTCTAGGATCCCAGACTTGGCGGAGTAGGATCTCCAAAATTCCAGCGACTTAGAGACAGTTCTCGTCAGCCACGAACCAAGCATGTTATTCCTGACGCGCAAATTGCCACAGAGAGCATTGTCGGCTTCACGTCACGGTCCAAGTTCACAAAATACCCTGTCATGGCAAGTTACCCGAGAACGCTAACCACACCTGGGCTAGTTGGCAAATCGGAACGGAAATAGGGCAACTGCATCTCTTCTGTTGTCTTGCGACTTGCGACTCCTGCTAATTGCGCGCTGCTTTTTTCCAAGTCGTTCAAGAGCAACTTCGCGTCACTTTTGACAGGCCTTTGATCGCTAAATCTACCATCATCCTCAAGCTCAGTCTTCATTTCCTATTCCTTCTTGTCTCCTTTTGATGCGCTGATGTCGCCGGACTGCTCTTGACCTGTCCAACTTTTCTTCAGCCTTTCCCCGCGTCAACAGCCTGATCAGGCAACCTTCTCCTTCACCTTGCCCTGAACATGACTTGCACCGTCCTCGCAGCCTCAAAATGACTGATGCAGACCCTCCCCCAGAGGCCCAACGCTTTGGTAGATCTCAGACGCCCGAATCTCCTCGTCCGGTCCATATTCCTGAACCTTCAACAATCCCGGTACTGCTGAACCAGATGGATCCGGTCTTCAATGACACCGAGACCTATAATATCCCTCATAACCAAACTTTTTCTCCTTACTCAGACTCTGCTCGCGCTATGAATGAGAATGAACCGAATCAAACCTCGGAAGAGCAAGACGTGGTCCAAAACTTTCTAAGAGGCGCCGAAGAGGAAAACACCCGTCTGGACGAGGCTGCCCAGCTCTCCTCCACAAACGGACACATGGTCCAGAATGATGTCGGCATCGAATCCAATCTCTTCACAGCCCTTGCAAACGCTTCTGCGTACCCACAGTCATCTGAAGCCCATGCCAACCCGCCTCTAGGTTCTGCCAGCCAAATCCAAGGTCCTACTCAACCAAGCAATGATACTTCGTCGGCCACTGATCTCTCTGCCAATCCAGATACCAGCGATAATGCACAAGCAAATGGAGAGGGCGTGCCTGGGACAGATCTCGCCGTGAGGCCGGGTTTCCAAGCGCATGAAGGTGGAGTAGACTATCAGTCACTTCTGGATACCATTTCTAAATCTGCTTCTACTGCTCCTGCTGCAGAATCTGTCTCTGCCCCAACTACTGCCGCTTCGCTTGCCAACCAAGGAACCCAATCATTGCTCCCTATTCCAGGTTTACCCCCTAAGCCACCAACCCAAGTTCAATCGTCGGATTCTCCCACTGTTGTCACATTTCCTAACTCCAACAACGATCAACTGGGCCCATATCAACAAGTGAGTGCGGATCACGCCAATACCAATGGCACCGAACAAGCTGCCCTGGCGCCTGTGCAGTTTCAGCCTCAAGCCGTGCCTATGCAAGCCCCGGGCACCTGGGCGTATTCTGGCATTCAAGCATCACCCACAAGCACGGATCCTACCTCTCCTGCCCAGTCTCTCCAGGCACCGGAACAAGGACGAGCCTTTGATGCGAATGAACGCCCGTGGACCCCCAGCACACAGGCGCTTTATGATTCTTTCCTTGAAGATGAACGGAGGTATGTGACAGAAGGAATATGGGACAAATTCCCCCACGGTTCACGTCTCTTTGTTGGTAATCTGCCCAGTGAAAAGGTCACCAAACGCGATATTTTCCACATTTTCCACAAACACGGGAAACTTGCCCAGATCTCCATTAAACAGGCCTATGGCTTCGTGCAATATCTTGAGGCCTCGTCGTGTCAAGCAGCGCTTCAAGCGGAACAAGGGGTCGAAATTAGAGGAAGGAAGATTCATCTTGAGATATCGAAGCCGCAGAAGAATACACGAAGCCAGCAAGGCCAGCAAGGAAACAAAAGACGCCGATCTCGATCACCAGACCGTGGTACCTCGCGTCAGACCGATCGATTTGGACGCCCTAACTATAGTGATTTTCGAGACGAGAGAGGTAGACGCGAGGAGTACCGACGGAGCCCCTCGCCTAGAGCCTATCGATCCAGAGATGACTACCGGCAACCTGTTCAAAGTCCCCGCTATGGAAGTAGTGGGAGACCGAATTCCCCCTTTACTCCCAGCTTCTCAAATCCACCTTCGGCAGGATACGATGAGGAAGCCACCCTCCCCTTACCTCGCAGAGATCCACGAGATGTGCCGGACGTGCAACTGCTCATCTTGGAGCCTTCGGTGGCTCCAAGCTTCATGAATTGGATCGAACAAGGCTTCCGCAACAAAGGTTTACGTGCTTCAACGATATGGCTCAGTCCTCGACTGCCTCTGAACGCAGTTGTGAAGAGGCAGATCATCGAAGGTGTGCAGGCTGTGGTGAAACTGACGCAAGCCAACCAGTACAACAGCAAGATACCCTTACAGGTCTTTGATCGGAGTCAAGGGACGTCGAATGTCAACTTTAACGAATATATTGATCTTGATGTCCCCGTTGCCGCAGATATTGTGCTCCATGCCCGACAAAAGGAACGGGGAAGTGTGCAACAAAGCCCCCAGTCCTATCAGCCACAGGGGTATTCTCAATATGGCTATCCTCCTCCGCCGACACAATACCCACCAGCACCTTTCCCTCAACACCACCACCAGCAGCAACAACCGCCGCCGCCAGCGCCGCCGCAACAGCATAACCACTTTCAATACGGCCAGAACACCCACTATCATAACCCGGCACAGACACCAGTGACTCCGACTTCGGCTTCAGCTGCGCCAAATCTGCAGCAACTGCTAGCGAATCTACGACAGCCGGGTGACGGGCAGCCAGAGAACGTTGTGCCAAATGGCAAACCGACCCCTGACCTGGTAGGCCTTTTAAGCAATGTCACCCGCCAACAGCAGGGCCATGGAGGAGCACCATTCCCGTCGCCACACGGTCCTCCGCATCATCATCAGCAGCAGCCACAGCCACAAGGTTATGGACCTGGTGCACCGGCTTATGCTGCTGGGCCACAATCTCAACAGAACGTACAAAATATCATGGAGACCCTAGCAAGGTACAACAGATGACAGATCAGGGCTTCTGTTGGCACTAACCAAGTTTCGAATTGTCCGATGCAAGATTAGATTTGAGTTATGGCAAAGAGCTTTCATTTCGAACATTGTGAATGTGGTCTGTCGGGTCAACAATGGTGGTTAGACTGAATGCTTCTATCCTTTGTAACCAATACAGCGGAGGAGTTCGAGGAACCAATTACTATGTGCGAGGGTCAGATCGGCAAAGAGCCTTTTACATAGATATCGACTCCACAATGCTGAAACGCAGAGAATAGATGACCATGTGTTTTACTAAGTACTCGACGATCCCGTAGACACGAGGCTGTGGCGGCGATTGTGCGATTCTCGCTAATCGGGAAATTCCCGAAAAATTGTCCCCCGCATGTCTCGACAAAATCGCCGAGACCGCGGCACATACGACGCTGCTTGTAGTAACAGCAATTCGCTTCCTCGACACTCATATTATTTACTTTCCTACAATCTTCCACTCTGTTACCCCCTATCCTCTCTGCCACAACCTGCAGAAAATGTCCAATCCTGTGGCTTCGACCTACGGGGCTCCTCCCACAGCGAATAGCGGATCCACTGCCAAATCAATTCCACACCCCGAGCCGGTATCGTCAAGTACACACCATATAGCAGGGATTCTGGCGACGGTCTTCGGATTGGATGAGGTCCCCTCGGGCACCACCGACATTGCGGTCCTCTGGCTGTTGCACCCCCGTCTGCAGACGCAGGCGTGCATGGCGCCGTTTGCGGCGCATATCATCTCGGAGTGGAACAAGCACCAGGCCCAGGTCAAGCCACGGAGCGGGACGATGAAGAAGAAAACGAAGGGCCTCATCGCCGTGACGTTCGACCAGCGGAACCACGGCTCGCGTCTGGTGTCTGCGATCGCCAATGAGGCTTGGCGGTCCGGGAATGAACACCACGCTCTGGACATGTTCAGCTGCTTCGCCGGCACGGCGGTCGACACGTCGCTCCTGCTGGATCACCTGCCGGGGTACATCTTCGGCGGGGCCAGCGACCCGCGCAGGATCGTGCAGAACCTCGTCTTGGGCGTCAGCCTCGGCGGCCACGCGGCGTGGCACGTCCTCATGCACGACCCGCGCGTGTCTGCCGCCGTCATCACCATCGGCTGCCCGGACTACACGCGCGTCATGACCGACCGGGCGCGCCTGTCGCGGCGCAAGTCGTACACGTCCACCGACCCGCCAGGCCGGGACTTTCTGGGCTCGACCGACTTCCCGCCCAGCCTGGTCGAGGCGGTGAAAAAGTCCGACCCGGCGGGCCTGCTGTGGTCGCTACCCGGGCTGAACTGGCGCCGGGACCAGGAGAAGCTGCACACGGAGGTGACCGAGGAGGAGCGCGCGATCCTGCTCCCCGTCATGACGCGGTGTTTCGGGAACAAACGTCTCCTGAACCTCTCGGGCGGCGCAGACAAATTGGTCCCCTACGCGCACTCGAAGCCGTTCATAGACTGGCTCAAAGCCGTCAGCGGCAAGGGAGGGTGGTTTGAGGGCAGCGGGTTCGTCATCGAAGACATCGTTTTTGAGGGCGTGGGGCATGACGTGCCCCCGAGCATGGTGCCGCACATGGTGAGATTCGTGACGGAGACGCTGGAGGATGAGGGCGTCGCCGTAACGGAGATGGGGGGAGGCGCAGGGAGGTTGGGCAGTAAAATATAAAACATAGAAACGGGCTCGTTGTTTGAAACACATGTATAGAATGTCATTTTGTCCATCGAACCTGTGGACTGATAGTGCGCTTAAGGGCGGCAGGGTTGGACTACGGACAGCATATATCCGAGTAACGCCACCGTCATGTTTGATTGCTCGACCTTGTATCTGTCGCATTGTGCCCCGAGCAGTTGCCGCACCAGTCAAACACAATAGGTGTATATTTCACGAAGAATCGACTCACCAGCCGAATCATCATTGAACGTGGGACAGTCCTTTCTCCGCCGAGCATACCAATAACCTTGTTATTCGCTCAGCGTGCTGGCTATACCAGCAAG